ATATAAATATATATAGCTTGTGTTATTTACAATTAATGTACATATATAATGTGTTTAATGAATGTGTGTAAGATAATATATTCTTTACGATTAACAGACATCTATTACACTTATGTAAAACGTTTATTTTATGTATATTGACATTAATATATATATTAATGTATATTAACGAATAGGATATATACGACTATTATGCGCCCAGATAGAACAAATGTTAAAATCAAGTCATAAGACGTGTTTAATTTGTATATGTAAGGCATCTTTAAGAGATTATTTACAATAAATACCCAGATAACAGCGAGAATTGAAAAAGAATTCAGTCGTAGATCAGCAATTGTGAGTTTATTTTTAGGTGCAAAAAGAATTTTTTTCACTGAACACTGATGAATTCTTTTTGCATTTAAAAATGAACTCAGAATTGGTGACATACGACAGAATTCTTTTTAAATCCCCTGTGTCATGTGGGTACTTATTGTATAGATAGCCTCATAGTTTATATTTCAAAGAAATATCTATTAGCTGTACATTGTACATTTTTCTATGCACATTTTATATACGTGTTTTATATATATTATAGATATGTGCTTATAGACATATATTACTTAACATTATATATAAAAAATCTGAGTATTATTGTATATATCTGAGTATTTATTGTAGATAATCTCTTAAAGATGCCTTAAAGACAACTTAAACACGTCTTATGACTTGACTTTAATATTAGTTCTATCTGAGTGCATAATAGTCGTATATAACATATTTGTTAATATATATAAAATGGACGTTTAAAATATGTATAATAGATATCTGTTAATCGTAAAGAATATATTATCTTACACACATTCATTAAAAACATTATATACTATATTATATAGTATATTTATATTTCTTTTTTATATACGTATGCCATACATCTGTTAGACATCAGTAATATGTCACTATATATATATTTTACGCACATTGTTTATACCTCAAAGAAATATCTATTAGCTGTAAATTGTACATTATTCCATGCACGTTTTATGTATATATATATATATTTTATATGTATTATGGATTTGTGCTTATATACGTTTATTACTTAACATTACATTTACATATATTATATATATAGATAACATTTTCTATAAACATAGATGTTCCTTTGATTTATAGATCTATTATTGATGACGTGTATTAGATATTTTGTTCTATATAGGATCGATTATTCTTCTATCGACTGTGATTGGTTAATGTCATTACCACTTAAAACTTATTATAAAAAGCCCATAAGACAATACCATATTGTCCCATACAGCATAGAAACATTGCAGAAACGTTGCAGAAATATTTAATTGCAAGATTGCAACATTGCAAATATATTGCGAAATATGACTCTAACATTGCTATGATGTTGCAGCAACGGTAAAATGTCCGGGCTTAGAAAGATTACATTGTAATATCATAGCAATATTGAAATGCAATACCCACATAGTCAGTGTTATACCCTTATAGAAATATCATACTAAGAATCATTGATTAATTACTTATTTTCAGTATTAAAACTATAGTATTTAGTAATATTCTGTGATT